AGTGTTATCGGCACAATGCACGAATCTCATGATCTGAATAAATCTATCACGGCGCATGGAAGTATGAACGGTTGTGTTTCGCATATCATCCCCAGAATCCCAGTAACTTTTTTTTGATGGCTTTTTATCATAACCAGAAACTATAAGAATTGCTAAAAAGCATTTCATTTCTTCTGTTGTAATTTTTGGGTCTGAACAATTTTTAAATTGAGCGTATCGATTAGCCTCAACACAAAGTAACTATATGATATCATCAGTAATGAAAAGCTCGAACAGGTCTACTGGTGACATATTTTCATACTTCGAGCAATTTGAATTGGAAATATCTTTTGGTTTGTAATCTCGGGTAACTCACGATTTTTCAACCAGTTTACTATTTTTAATTTTTTTTATTTTTACCAGATTTAGTATGGAGTATGGTATTACCTTCATTAGAGTCTTTATGTGCAATATCTTCAGTATTTCCATAATCGTCAGTACCAATTCGTTCTCCACTATTGAATACTATTTCTGCAGACGCTTGAAGTTGTTTGCCTGATAAATTGTCTAGTCCACCACCAGATTCATCTCCGGAATCTTCGTCTGATTCTTCTCGGTTTTCCGGGGGTTCTATATAAACCCGATCAACTGTTTGATTGTGAAAATCCTCCCAAAATTGTTCAGTCAATTAGAGTCAAAGAGATCTGCAATCTCTTGGACTGTCAATCTGTAACAAAAAATAAAAATATTTTTGTAGATTTAACAATTGCGTACTGTAAAAGACTAGCGTGCCATATAAGTTACATGGACAAAAACACATAATTTATGAACACTGGGTATATCTAATAATACCCGACGAATGGAACGAAAGTCTTACAATCGTGCTATTTAAAAAAGGAGACAAAAAGGACATAAAAAATTACAGACCCATCTCACTGCTGTCGCAAACGTACAAATTATTCATGAGGATTATCAACAACAGGCTAGCACACAAACTTGACTCATATCAACCAGTAGAGCAGGCAGGATTCAGAAAAGGATATAGCACCACTGACCATCTTTTAACAATTAGGACACTGATAGAGAAAGCTAACGAATATCATTTAGATCTGCATTTAGCATTCGTTGACTATGAGAAAGCTTTTGATAGTGTGGAAATGTGGGCAATAGAAAGAGCTATAAACAACTGTAGAATAGATTCCAGATACAGAATGCTAATACACAATATATATAAGAAAGCAACAATGACAGTACAATTGGAAGAAAACACAAAACCTATACCAATTAACAGAGGAGTGCGACAGGGCGATGTTATTTCTCCTAAATTATTTACATTAGCACTGGAAGATGTTTTCAAAACAATGGAATGGACAAACATGGGAATAAACATAAATGGAAAGAAACTAAACCATCTAAGATATGCAGACGATGTAGTAATAATAACATCAAGTTTTGAAGAACTACAAACTATGCTAACCGAACTAGCCAAGGAATCTGAACAAATAGGCCTAAAAATGAATCTTACCAAAACGAAAACAATGACAAACACACAAGATAATAGAAACGTAATACTAAATGGAATCACAATAGAAGCGGTTAATGATTATATATATTTGGGACAGATAATAAAAATAAATAAGGAAAACCAAACAGCGGAGGTAAAAAGAAGAGTCAGATTAGCCTGGGCAGGATTTGGGAAATTAAAATGGGTCCTAAAGAATAAGAAAATACAACAGTACTTAAAAACAAGAGTGTTTGACCAGTGCATACTCCCAATTCTCACATACGCATGCCAAACATGGACTCTGACCAAAGCAAACATGGATAAGATAGTGAAGACACAAAGAGCCATGGAGAGAGCAATGTTGGGAGTAAAATTAAAAGACAAGAAGCAAAACATCTGGATAAGAAACAAAACAAAAGTCAAAGACGCAGGTCAACATATAGCCAGGCTAAAATGGAGTTTCGCAGGTCATAACGCCAGACAAACAGACAATAGGTGGAACAACACGATACAACATTGGAGACCATGGACAGGAAAGAGAGCAAGAGGACGACCCCAGATGAGATGGGGAGATGACATTAGAAAGATAGGAGGAATACACTGGAAACAGAAAGCACAAAACAGAAGCGAATGGAGGAAACTGGGGGAAGCCTATGTTCAAAATTGGACGAATTAAAGGGCAAAAGAGGGTATATCTAATGCTCCTTTTTTACATACATAAATGTTATCAACTTGAACATGAACTAAATTTGTACACAGATATAAAATTTTTAATACGTACTGGTAAAAAAAATAACTTACCTTTTAACTTAACATATTTCGTACGTAGTCAAAACAAAGACGAACTCTCAGCTTATAATCACAACAACAAATAATTGTCAAATGTATTTTGCTTTCGCCTGCAACTAAACTACATACTAACAGACCTAAAAACATCTACTAGGGTTTTGAAGGTCACTCGTTAAGCGCTGTAAGTCACGATGAAAAGATCGTTCTTTAGTGTATCATATATGGCATACTAGTACCTAATGGGTTAACCCATACCTGTAATTTTTTCTTTGTCACAACTTTCTCAATGAAAATTCTTGTTGTGTCACTGATTTTAGGTTAGTGTTTTAAATAATTATTAGCAATTGATTTTACATCCTTCAGAGACCAATCTGTTCCAAGTACCTTCACAGTTCCAATTTTTTTATATTCTTCAAGGTACTTTTCTTTATCAATAAGAGTAGGTTTCTTCCAAAACAATTTCTCAGCGCTTCCAAAAACCCTATCGGCTGGTACAAAAGAATGGCTCCTGACAGGGAAATTAATACTAATATGTATCAAGGCGTCTTCGTGGGCTGCCAAAAAGTAGATTAAAGTATGAGGCACGTTATTGTTTTTGTTCTAACCTGTACATCCATCACAAAACAATCTCAGGTGGGGCTTAATACTTACTCTTCTATGGCTGAATAGCAAATGTGGGGTTTTGCTATAACCGTCACATATCATGTGAGGTTTTGCTTTAAACACCTACTTTTAAATTAATATTACAACTGGAACTGTGGGTTTTTGATCGGCACTAAACATGACAGGCAATGCATTTTAAAATGATGAATTAGAAATATCAGTTATTTTAAAAAAATATTTTTGGACATGTTGTAACCTTGGAAATCTTTTTTGGGTGGTGCTAGAAAGATAACCAATGGAGACACTGCGGACGGCAGCCAGATGGTTAGTGGAGAGCGAGTCGTGGGTTCGAAACTAGCTTTTGGAACCGGGAATGGATCCAACGGAAGAAATAGGTAAAGATAGGATAAGAGATATTAGAAAAGATACAGAAATAAACAAAAAGATAGATGGGTACAATTACCAAAGATAAGAGAAGATAGAAACAGGGCGCCACTCAATTTTTTGGGGTTAAGGAGAAAATTAAGAAAACCTTAGAAAAGAAAAGAGATAAGAAAAGATATTTAGGTTCAGAGATCAAACCCAAGGAAAGATACCAACAGTAAATTATCAAATAAATCTGGTCAACGCAATATATAAACAAATAATAAATATATTAAGTATTACACTTACTTACCTACGAAACTTAATCAGCCTGATCTTTCTACAGTTCAAAAGCATAGTAATATTTAAAGATAGTAATTATTCAGAGCTATTATTTTATCAGGGAACTTGTTAGGAGCAGACAAATAAAATACATGCATAAAACAATAATAATATATTAAACACAAAATTATGATGCTGCTAAATGCAACCCAGGTAATAAAAATACACAACTATGAAATGGTGTTATATATGTATAAAATTAAGCTATAATGCAATAAAAAAATACCTTTACCAAGATATATAAGGCAATCATATACAAATATAGTTTGGTGTATCTCGAGATATCATAGGAAAGATAATGAACAAAAATTATAGGAAATACAAAAGATAGCAAAAATTACTTAACTCTAAATTTACAAAAAAAAAAACAAAAAGGTTACAGGAATGAAAACATAAACCAAACCGCACTTGGTTAAGTCAATTAACTATCTCGCACTATTATTTAATAAAAAACTAAGACTTGTATGTTCATAGGTAATATTTATAGAAATTTCTTGAATGATTCAATTACATTCAAAAATCGGCAATCTACAGGTGAAGATATAGATGATACGTCCAGATAATGGCAGGTGATATGATACCATACCATATTACTCGCCCAGATAATTGTAGATAAAGATTACTTACAGTAGATCTTGACGAATGCAGCTTAATTCACTGAATTTAAATACTTTTCTGTTACTAAACACTGAATTTAATAACCATTAAAGGTAGTGTAGAACTATATATAATATAGTCTAAGGAAAGAAAACTCAAATATGAAGTGTACACAAACTTAGAAAATAATTCACATCGACGATAAGATAAGAAATATCGTGAGCAAAGCGCATCACGAGATATCACTTCACTCAACAAGAGCCCACCGAGAAGTAAGAGTTGGTTCCCTAAAAATTTTACCAACTATCCAAGAAAAAAGAAGAAGAAGGTATATCCCCCACTTAAAATCATCGGACAGTCGTATGTATTTCTCAGAAGGTAAGGCCTTAACGACTATTGGAAAGTTTGGGGTAAAATAATCGGTATTAACAATTGGACCTGAGAATATTAAAATCCTTAGGATTATATTATTGTCAAAAGATACGGGCCTTCAGCGAAAATTACCAATTTATGAAAAAGAAACTGCATACCGGAAAGCATTTGTTCTTTTCATACATAGTATTAAGACGGAAGGATTAAAAACCTTTCTTAATTAGGGAATTCCATTTCAGCTTGGTGTCTACAATAATATTTTCCTATAGTAAACACAGGGATTCCTAATCATCGGCGTATCGCACGGGGGTAAAAGGAATTAAAAATAATTTGATATATTAATAATAAAAAAAATGTTACAATGTGGGGTTATGAAAATTACCTCCTCATATATTAACCTATCTTCAAATAATATGTTTGAAAAAATACTTATTGTAAATATATGTTTCAGGAGCTTGTGCCAGCAATAATTAGTGCAGTTCCTCGACAATCAGCTATGCAATTGTTCCATTTTTTCCAAATTTCTAAGAAAGGTAAATTGTGTTTAGAAGCTATTTATATTGGTATATTTTTTTTATATAGGTAAATATTGGTAAAAATACGAACATATATATTGAAAAAATGAAATGTTTATATTTGTTGTGGATTTTTTAATTAAAAGCCATTATCAAATATAGATGAATTATTTGGTTACAAATGAGTCTAAGTAACAATCAGAATGTAACAAAGTAAACTATTATAGATCGGATCAAAGTTTGCTTGGACATTATCAATCAGTAAGGACAATTGGTGATAATTCAAAACGAATGGTGGGGTATGATTATCAATGAAATTTTTAAGAGTTTCCTGTGTAGATGGGGCTTTATGTGAGCGCGGTTTTTTTGGTTTAGAGGGTTTGGGTTTTGCAAACAGATTTTCTGATAAAATTGCTGTCTGAAGGAGGCGTGACGACTTCACCAATACTGCGTTTTATGGAAGAACTTGCGTTTTCGCAATTGCTATTAGAGTTTTCACTTAGTTGCTGTGGCTTTATTACATTTGGAAGTACAAGAGCAAACTCATTGGTAGTGACAGAAGTGACATTGAAGTTTTATGTGTAAGATTGGTTAAAATGGTTGTTTCAGAAAATTGTGGTGATATATCAGTTTTATTAGAATTTTCTGCAGTTGTATCTAATGGAAAAGGAGCTGATTTATTGTAGGATATTGCTTCCGAAGTTTGTGAAAACGGTATTGCCGCTGTATGAGGTTGATTGAAAGTGTTGTTATGAGTAGGAGTATTAGTAATTTCTTTGCTATGGAGATTTGTAGTTGTAGGTGATATGCTCGGATTTGATAATGGATAACTTGATGACTGCTGGGTGCTTGGTACCTTGTGCCTCCGAAAGCTCAATATGTGACTATATTCGGAAAGAGTCGAGCTAATTTTCAGAAATGTTATTGGGGAAATAAGCTTTAAACCGATATTCTGTAATTCGGCAACTAATACTTGATGAGGAAGTGACGGGCAGACTCCAGATAAGACTAGTCTTTCTGCTAGAGAGACAAGTCTTCGTGCTATTACAACTTAGCCGAGTACTTGTATAAAGGCATGTTGTGTTATGAAGTTGTCTACTACGGTTTTGTTTGCCAAATATAGGTTATTCCACAAATATACGACTGTTTGGGATTATTGCGACAACGAATATTTTACTGTGCAAGTAGAAGTATGAAAGTAAATTGGTCTTATTATTATTCCAATAAAAATGATCTGTTTTTTCATCGATTCATTGATTCCAATAAAAATTATTTCAGTTAATAGATATTCATATAGACGCAAAGTTTATTGTGAAATTTAATCCGAAAATAACAAAAATGTTTACGCAAACGCTCATTTTTACGAAAATATGTTCATCAGACATTTGGGTTGGATTTTTGGCTGGACAGTGCTACAAAAATTAAAAGACAGAAATATATTTGAACTTTCCGGAACAAGTCTCTGGAGAGTTTTAAAACAGAGTGGCTTTAAGTTCAAAAAGGAAGACAATAGAAAGGCTTTGTGAAAAAAGAGCTAGTATCGTTCACAAAAGAATAGAATTTTTGAGAAATTATAACACATTTAAAAAAAAATGTTCTTCCTTCGTTTATTTAGACAAAACATGGATTTTTGCTAAAGGCGGTATCAAACAAATTTGGCAGGACGAGAGTGTAAAATCCATAAAATACATCGATAATGAGAGAGAGATATATTATAGTGCATGCAGGTGGAAAACATGGTTTTATTGAGGGAGCAGATTTTGTGTTGTCATCAAAATCAAAATCCGCCGATTTTCATGACAATATGAATACGGAGATGTTTGTGAAAAGGATGAAAGAAAAACTGTTGCCAAGTTTACATGAACCATCCGTTATAGTACTAGATAATGCTGTGTACCATTCGGAAATTTTAAATAAGCAACCAACAAACATCTGGACCGTAGATAAAATAAAAAATGGTTAACGAATAAAAATATAATATTTCCTCAATACTGTTTTAAGCCTCAATTACTAACGTTAGCTAAAACTCATGCACAACCCAACATATATGTATATTTTATATAGTATACCAAATTAGACATAGCTTTAGACATCGTGTGTTAAGACTACCGATCTATCATTGCCAATTCAATCCAATTGAATATATCTGGAGGATAAGCAAAACATATTATGATAACCATATTGGCTACAAGGGTCACAGTGACGAGGCAGTCTTGGAAACATGGCAACAAGCATTGGATATTGCCACTCCTGAAATTTGGGAAAAAAGTGTAAAAAAATGTGAAGACTTAATTAAAGAATGGTGGATCTGTGAAGGTTGCATCGAATCAGTTAATCCTGTTATAATTTACCATCCGAATGACAGTGACAATGGCTGTGAATCTGATGGTTGATGATAGTTTTAGGAGATTAGGAGAATAAGAGAATAAATATTTTTGTTTGTTTTTTTTTTAATACTAATTGAGTATTACACTAAATAAAGAGCACTATTTAATCACTTAAGTATTGGTACATTTCGTTTAAATCACTTCATTAAAAAAGCAACTTGTTTACAATACTAAACTCAATGATAGTAATTATATAATTTAAAATCTAAATTACAACTGTTCTATAAACTATTAAATTTATATTTATATCATGACTTCATATTTAAATCTAAGGTTTATATCTGCCACAACAATATTTTAAAAATGGGGAGAATTTACTATTGTACAATTCAGCGCATTGGACCATTTAATTCGATACCTTAAACCGAATTTAAAACAGTCGTATATTCGTGGAATGGAGTATATATGCAGATTCTATTATGAGATAATCTAGATGAAACAATAATATTTTTTGGGTTCATGATTCTACCCAAAGGAATGAGATAATTCTGCAGTTTAGCATGATCGATACAACTAAATACAATTGCTTGGGTCTTAATCGGAAAAAAAGTGAAGCGGCTGATGCATAATTTTTTGTGATATATGAACGTTGATTTACTGGACTGGTGAGATCGGAAGGTGTATTTACATTATGTGAAGTCATTTTAAGCTGCGGCAGTGAAGGCCTTACTCCGACTCTGGTAAGTGACAAACCACAACCGCATACTACTTTAAGTTACTTATAGCAGCTAACCTCACAAAATGATTGTACGGTAGTGTATATTTATTATTTGACGTTTTCTTATCACAATAATAAAATAATAATAATAGTATCCAGTAGATAAACACTTTAATTAAAAAAAAAACTATTTAATAAAATCACTTGTTTTTATTAAAAACTAGGAGTACAATATCAGTACAACTTAACCATACCTATCCATGGTCGGTATCCAAAAAATATAATTATTCTAACTAATTATGGATTAATCTCATCAAAAATATCATTGTCAACATAAAAATGTTAAATACTCAATAAAATAATGGTATTACAGTCCTTGTTAATAAAAATGGCTCGATTGTCATTGAAAAGTCCCGGGTTTCAGGTAATTTTTATAAATTTGTCCCAAATTCCATTGAATTGAAGTTGGTCACACTATGTATATTATATAATTTTTAAGCCCTTCGTTTTAAAAAGAGCACACTGAAAGAACTTAGAAAAGAGTGCTAAACGCATGCGAATACAACCTTTAAACAATCATAATATCTCGTTTAAATTCCTTCAAGAAAAATCATCAACAAATGATATTAACATTCTAAATGACATAATAGTAGAAGCAATAACAGAAGCTCAAAAGAAATGCTGCCCAAAAAGCGTGAAGGAAGAAAAAATTAGTCTGGAAACACAGAAAAAAATGGAACAAAGAAGAATACTGAGAAGCGACGAAAACTCTAGTAACCACGATATAAATAGAATGAACAAGGAAGTATCAAGAGAAATCAGAAAAGACTTAAGAAAATACAAAGATGAGAAAATCATCAAAACCATTGAGGAAAATAAGAGTATGAAAATAATGAGACGCAAACTCATAAATGGAAATAAACAAATAGTCAAACTCAAGGATAGAAATGGCAACATCACATCAAACAAAGAACATTTATTACAAATTGTGGAATCATTCTATGAGACATTATATAGCAACCAATCGACTCTAGATATAGTCGAATATTAACAGAGGAAGGTTCAAAATCAGGGTTCCGAAGATATTCCAGAAATCTCCTTGAACGAAATTTACAAGGCCCTAAAAAGATGAAGAATAACAAAGCTCCGGGGGAGGACGGTGTCGTCACGGAAGCCATAAAGATAGGAGGCTCAGTACTGATAGCCAAAATTCAAAAGCTCTTTAATCTATGCCTATGGAATCAAAATATCCAAACAAAGTGGAATAATTCAATAACTGTACTTTTACACAAAAAGGGAGATATAGCAGACCTGAAAAGATACAGAGCAATCAGTCTCCTTAACCATCTTTATAAATTATACACCCGAATAATAACGAATAGAAAGGGCCTGCGTAGCGCAAGCGGTAGTGTGCTTGCCTCGCATGCCGGTGGTCGTGAGTCCGAATCCTACCGCCGGCAAGAACAACTAGGCATTTTTAAAATGTCTATAGGCCCCAGGTCGACTCAGCCTGAATAAAATGAGTACCTTGGGTAAAACCAGGGGTAATAATAGGCGGTTGAAGCGTAGCACTGGCCATGTTACCTTCCTTGTATACCGTAGGCCCTAGATATAGCAGACTACCCTGCTATACTCCCAAAGCCGCGTGCGGTATAAAACGGGAGACTATTATTATTATTATAATAACGAATAGATTAGAGACAAAGCTGGATTTTTACCAACCTCGGGAACAAGCTAGTTTCCGCCCTAATTACGGCACAAACGATCACCTGCAGTGCCTAAAAACCCTAATAGAAAAAACTAACGAATCAAGCCGTCCCTTGGAATTGATATTTGTAGACTTTAAAAAGGCGTTTGATACAGTGGAAATACCGTCCATCTTAAGAGCACTACAAGATTGCAGGATCGACCACAGATATTGTAATATAATTAAAAATATATATAAAAATGCAACAACAATTATAAGTCTATATTCTGCAACTAATAAAATAAAGATAAAAAGGGGAGTCAGGCAAGGTGATACCATGTCACCAAAGCTGTTCATTACCGTTCTTGAGTATGCATTTAAAAAACTAACATGGCAACAGAAAGGAATATCCATCGATGGAGAAAGATTAAACCATCTACGTTTTGCGGACGATATCGTGCTTCTGTCAGATAATCTGGGAGAGATCAAAGACATGCTCCAAGAACTGAATGACATACTACATGAAACTGGGCTGGAGATAAATTTCGAGAAAACCAAAATGATGACCAATATGGTTCCCAGCGAAGAGATACAGATCAATAACAACAAGGTAGAATTAATCGATAAATACACATACTTGGGTCATGAAATTAGAATAACCAGAGACAACCAAACCTGCGAGCTAAATAGAATAGAATAGAATAGAATAGAAATATGCTTTATTGTCACTGAAAATTATTGAACAATTTTATGGACAAAGCTAAAAAATAAATCAGTCAAATAATACACAAAGTATAAAACAAAAACAATATAGTAAAAAATAGAATAACACAATTTTAAATTAGTAAAATTATTGTATAACCTACATAATTTGTACAGACAACAACAAATGAGACAAATTGTAGCCACTGCTTGAGACACCCAAATGTAATTATAAACAATACTAATTTTGTTTCTTTGTTATACATTAAGAAACTCGTCAACTGAATAATATGGTCTTTCTGAGAGATAGATTTTTGTCACCTTACGAAACTTAATGAAGGATGTTGCGGATTTAATTTCTCTTGGAAAGTGATTATAAAGTTTCTTTGCACGATATAGAATAGAATTCTTTACTAGCTGAGTGGACGGTATCGGCAAATAAACGTTACAATCCGAATTTCTAATGGAGTAGCCATGGTCAGGTCTATCGGGAAAAATGTTTAGATGCTTTCGAATCAAACAAACCGTTTCCAAAATAAATAAAGAGGGAAGCGTCAAAATTCCGTGATTTTTGAAGTAGGTCTTGCAATGAGTTGTTTGTTTGAGACCAAATAGATAACGGATTGCTCTTTTTTGCAACTTAAAAATAGTATCAAATTGGGCCGCTGTACTAGAACCCCAAAATGGAAGCCCATATCGAAGATGGGACTCGAACAATGAGAAATATGCCATTTTGGCAGAAGATAAATTTAGTTCCTTCGAAACAGATCTTATTGCAAAGCAAGCTGAGGCTAGTTTGTTCCTTAAGGAGTCAGTATGCAAGGACCATTTGAGATCACCTCGTCAATGAGAATACCTAGAAATTTCACGGAATTTACGATATTGATTTGGCTCTCATTCAAAAGCAAGGGTTGCATGACTCCTTGGTTGTATAAGATAATGCTACAGTCTTATCCATGTTAAAGCTAAGTAAGTTGGAGTCTGACCAAGCCTTGATTATAAGTAAATCATCGGTTATAATTGAATGAAGCGTTGAAATATCAGAGCTGCTCCAAGTAATACTGGTATCATCAGCAAATAGAAAAATTTCCCCTTTAATTTTCAAGTAAGTGATGTCATTAATGAAAAGTAAAAAAAGAATGGGACCTAATACTGAACCTTGCGGTACTCCACACTCAATATCTTTACAACTAGAGTCGGTGTCATTTATTCTAACCAATTGTTTCCTACCTACCAAGTAAGTTTTGAACCAGTTCAAAGACACACCCCGAATTCCGTAGAAAGTTAATTTTTTTAATAGAATGTCGTGATTTACGCAGTCAAAGGCTTTGGAATAGTCGCAGAAAAACGGTGGCGGAGGAGAGGTTACTGTTTAGTGATAGATATACATCATGTAACACAGAAAATATGGCATCACTAGTGCATTTATTAGACAAAAAGCCGAACTGATTTTGCGATAAAATATTATATTTAAGGAGAAAGGGCATAAGTCGAACTTTTATAAGTCTTTCAATAATTTTTGATAGTGCTTTTATAATTTTTGATAGTGATTTTGATAGACGAATCATGTTGGGATGGGCGGCATATGGACGGATGAGAGACATTTTTAAAACAAATATCCCAATTCACCTGAAAAGGAAGACATTTAACCAATGCATCTTACCAGTCTTGACCTACGGAGCAGAGACCTTAATTTTAACGAAAGCTACTGCCGAAAAACTGAGGGTAACACAAAGGCGAATGGAGAGATCAATGTTGGGCCTGACCTTGAAAGATCGCGTAAGAAATGAGGAGATACGCCGACGAACTGGCGTAGACGATATTATACTGCGAATCAATAAACAAAAGTGGAGGTGGGCTGGACATGTTGCTAGAATGGAAGATGGAAGATGTACGAAGAGATTATTGGAGTGGAGACCAAGAGCCGACAAGCGAAGTCGAGGCAGACCACCCACCCGATGGACCGACGACCTAAGGAGAATAGAAACAAACTGGATTGCAGCAGCTAGAGATAGAGAGAACTGGAGACGTTTGGAGGAGGCCTATATCCAACAATGGATGTGAAAATTTGGAATGAAAAAAAATTAAAACTTTAGTAAAAAAAGTTTTTTTTTTTGTATTTTAACATTTTTGTTTCTGTATAATTTCTAGTTATTGAGTTGCTCTACTTAACATTTTTGTTTCTGTATAATTTCTAGTTATTGAGTTGCTTAAAAATTTTTTGAGAAATTTTAAAAATAGTGTGTTTACTTTAAAATCGGATCTTTTTTTAACTAAACCTTCTATACCAGTTAAATTAGCAAAATGTAGTGCTTGTATACAGTGTGTCAATTTTAAAACTTACAATGCGCTATATCTTACGAACAAAAGCTGATATCAAAAAATTCTTGAAAACGTTTCTAGGTTAGTAAGGGGGAACTAAAATGACATGAAAGGGAACTCACCCCCTTAACCCACATCCTAGGCCACATCCACCACAACCAAAAAAGTTTAAATTTCAAACCCCTACTTGTGATACATCATTAAACAGACTATAAAAAATGCTATCCAATGGTGTAAATAATAATTATACACGTTGAAGCAATAATTGTGAAACTTTGGCTTAAATAGAAAATTTAATGAGGCTTTTGTTGAACTACAAATTTGTTAAAAATGTCAATTCAGTAAATGTTCACAGTATGCTCCGTTGTTTTATAAACAATAATACAGCGCTTTTTTAAATTCTGCACAAACTTTGGCAAATGTTGTTCTAGTTATAGCGCAACATGCTTGCATAATTCTTTTTTGCAATCCTCCAAGTGACGCAGGTTGAGTTTTATAAACAACTGACTTGATTTATTCCCATAGAAAAAAGTCATGTGGCGGTAAATGTGGTGATCTCGGTGGTCACTCAATAGGACCTTTCCTTTCAATCTATTTGTTCCGATAATTAGTATCCAACCAGTGCCCAACTGGAGCTGCATAGTGAGGAGGTGTTCCATCTTGTTGGAAGTGCAGCAAATCTTCGTCCAGAGCTAGGTTGCCTTGATCGTCTGTTTGGTTCTCTAATTCATGCACAATTAAAGGTTCGATTAATTACTATATAACTGGGAATAAGCCACAATTAAAGATAAAAATACGTTTATTGACGTTTTAATTTCCACTTCGAAAATCGTTCTCAAAATACAAACAGTAAATTAAACAGATTTTGTTTTTTGTTACATAGTGAAAAATTCTTCTAATAATTTAATTTTATCTGACTCATTTATATTGACAATTCAGACATACATTATGCATTTTAAAGTAGACGACTTTAAAATGATATTGCCAATATTGTTGAGTTGCGCTCCTGGGACGACTTTACTTATAAGATAGTTCATTCGATTACATGAAATCAACTTTAACTTGAGAATATCCGTCAGAAAAAATCATAGCATGTAATTCGTCTTTAAAAAGACAAACACATGACATGATGACAGTAAAATTCTCCTGTTAGTGATTCCATAGTAAATTATGAGGGAAAAACCAGGAAAAAAACCTCATAATACTATCCCAACATGGTAAGTATTTGTTCGTGCATTTAGTTTACCTTCAATAAACACCAAAATTCTGATTTTATATGTTTCGTTATTTAAAAAAAAACATAAATGATGTATCCTCTATATGTTACTGACTTACTAATACTGGTATTTTCTTATTAATAACTTCCTCTTTCAACATTGGTAACCAGATCCTACTACATTCTGCCGAGGAATTTGCGACACAATTGGCCTCATTTAACATAATTAGAGCCGCTTCTTTGATTTTTCTTTTTTTACCATCCGTTTCTTTTAGGACTACATTTGAATTATTCCATTGAACCCTATGTTCATTATCCCATGCGTGTTTACATATTTAAAATCTATCGAATTCTCTATTTTTAATATAAGATTGATATTCACTTATTCTAACATTTAATGGCCTTGATGATTCACCTAAATAAAACTGATCGCATTCACAAGGTATGCGATATACCTACCTAAGACTTTAATTTAAACGCTTTGATTTACTTCGTACACGTATGATGTCCAAAGATACAGCGAACGGAGTTTACCATAATCGTTTTGTTAGTAGATCTTTGAAGTAAATATTAACAAACAAAGAATGCAAAACACACTCCTGGGGAACTAGATTTATTTGCTATTATTGTATCATCCTTATCTTTAATATCTGTTTTTTTTTTAATAAAATTGACTAATTTCTTTGATCATACTTAATGTACTATAAGAATAGTTTATAATAATTTTTCATATTTTAGGGATATTTGCACAATACGATTATGGTTCCATAAAAAATGTGCAAAGATATAACCAAAGTACACCGCCCGTATATGACCTTAATAAAGTAACAGCGTGCATTGCTATATTTTATGGAGAAAAAGACGATATGGTAACAGTTAAGGTAGATATAACTGATATATTAAAGTGCTTAAGTACATAGATGACAAAATAAATGAATATTATAAAATGAATTTTACGTAATTCTGATTATATCTTTTTTATAACACATCATACAAATTTTTCATTATTTTCATATGAATGATGGACGAAGTGGGTGTTGCCAATTTCTTTGTATTTTCTGTTGGGATTACCTTAACGTCTTGCTTGTTATGTAACAATATTATGTTTGTTTTAAATAATACAACATCTCTCTTTTTGGATCTCTTTTCATCTGAACAAGAAATTAGAGCTAATAAAAGGGGCAAACACAGCCACAGGATCTTGGAGAATAACCTTGATTTTTTTTATATGGCATTGACATTAGTCAATGCCATATAAAAATGACATAGACAAATGCACAACTCTATCCTTAATACAAAACTAACGGATAATTAATAGAAGAATATACGACAAGGAAACTTACAGGGTCACTTGCTTCTCGTCTAGGGGCTCATCAAGACATTCTTAGTAGACAAACAAAACTGGACCACGGATAAGGTGTTATAACATTTAGGTTAAACAAAGGATACAAATCTAAATTTCTACACGATCAAGAAAAATTTCATGCTCGCGTACAAATTCTATAGAACCGTGCATGTGTCTGGCAAGAAATCTTTTGTGAGCCTGTCGCCAGTAGCGACTGAATATTGAATGGTGCATACATATTAAATTCGATTAATTTTTTGTAGAGAGAGTTTGAAAGCTGTTGAAACTTAAGGCATTCAAAAAAGATGTGATCAAGATCACCCAGTTTTCCGCAATGTTTGCAATTATCATCTTCAATCACATTTATTTTATGTAAATGACTTGGATAACACGCATGTCCAAAGCGTAGTCTATTTATGGTGGTTATATATTTACGTGGAAATTTAAAATTCTTAAACCAAGTACTTTGTGGAATAACTAGTTGTAAAGTGGTGTATCTTGTTTGGTTTGTAAAGCAGTAAAGATTCCATTGATCTTTCCATGTCGATAGCTGTTTTTTTTTTTAAATTCTAATGGCATCTGATACACATAAAGAATATGACAATAAATTCCCTGATATTATACTGGTTTTAACTAAGTAATCTACATATTCATTATTTTTGAGTCCAATATGTGCCTTAACCCAAATAAATTTTAAATTAAAGCCAGAGTCTGCTAAGTGCTTTAATTGTTTAATTGATCTTTTATTAGAAAAATATAAGGATTACTAAATGTTTTGGGCAAAAAAGTGTTTTTTATGTTTTGTAGAACTGAAAGACAGTCTGAAAGAATTACCGATTTTTAAATATAAGAGTTTTTAACATATTTCAAAGCTTCGAGTATGGCCAATGATTCCGCCGAGAAAATTGAAAACTCATTGGAAAGTTTGTACTTAAATTCAGAACCTCCTTAGGGTAGAAAATAGGCAAAGCCAGTCCCTTCTATTGATTTGGATGCGTCCGTGTATATAACTGTGGCATCACTATAACAGTTCAAAACAGATCTCAGAATATTGTTGCTCAATTTGTTGTTGTCACTATATGTAGGTATTATAACTTCAGCTTTATGGAAGAGAGCAAAGAAGTCTAAATTTTTTTCCACTTTGGCCAAATTCTTTAAAAAAATTGAATTGTTCTGTAAAGCAGTGCACAAAGGTGGAGATGGCTTTTTAATCCAATATTTGTGAGTGAGATCTGATTCGTTAAGTTGACGTATACTGAAAAATAATTTGGGATTTTTTGAATGGGCTTTGAGTGCCCAATTTTCGCTTAATAAATTTCTTCTTATCGAGAGAGGAGGCTCATAAGCTTACTTCAACATGTAGTGGTTGTATAGGGGTAGATCTCATAGCACCTAAACAGACCCTTAAGACAGAATTTTGAAAAATGTCAATTTTTCTTAGAAGATTTCTAGATGCAGAACCGTAAAGAGTAGCACCATAATCTATAATGGATCGTATATAAGCTCTGTAAAACAATAAGAATGTTTCTATATCGCAACCCTACCACACTTTGGTTGTCATTCTAAGAAAATTACTACCTTTGTTGCATCTATCCAGCATATATTGTATGTGTTGTTTCCAAGTCAATTTTTTATCCAATATAAGGCCCAGGTATTTGACATGGTTTTTAAAAATAAAAGATTGATTATTTAGAAGATTATTTTGATTTAGAGAAAGGTTGTGTCTTGTAAACACAGATACTGCCGTTCTCTAAGTACCATGGGAAAAGAGAACTATATACTCTGCTTAGGTTTTGCTTACCGTTTTCATATTTCTTACTTTCTTTATAGACACAAAAGTCATCTGCATAGTGTATTATTTTAAATGAGATGTTGTTTATTTGCATATTATGATGTCAGAGGTGTACATATTAAATAAAATTGGCGATAATACCGAGCCTTGTGGTATGCCGTGATAGTTGTGTCTAGGTAATATTAGTTTTTTATTATGATCTCTGACGTAGATTACCCTGTCGGTGTAGAAACCGATAATTGTGTTAACGAAAGCAATTGGCAAATGAAAGAAATTTACCATTTTGAATTTCAATATTGACAAACAAACTGATTCATATGCTCCTTCAATATCCAAGAATATAATAGGGCTTTTAAATAGTTATTCCTAGTTAAATTGTTCTGTACATCAACAACAAGTGTTGTTAAAGCGTCTAGAGTTCCAAAACCTCTTTTGTAGCCAAACTGGTTTACTGGTAGTAAATTCTCTACCATTGGATCCACCAATCTAATCTAAATTTTATAAGCCTTTCTAGGGTTTTGAATACGCATGAGAGTAAAGATATTGGTCTATATGAACTCACACTATTTGGATCCTTTCCGGGTTTAAGGATAGGAACGACTAAGATATTTTTGAAGGACTCGATAACTATCTTATTTTGGATGATATCATTGAAGATATGTAAAAGATGGTTTTTTGCAACCGTTGGTAGGTTGATTAACATGGGGTATTTTATATGATCGATTCCAGAAGTATTAATGTGGTTTTTAAGAGCGAAGTCTAATTCAGTTTTAGTAGAAGGTTTCAATAGAAAGTGATTATTTAAATGATGACTTTGTGTAGGCTGTGTAGGCGAATTTTTAGCCCATGGAGGAGATACTCTATTAAAGAAGTCTTTTAACAAAGTATCATTGAAGGGTTTTGTACTTATTGATGGGATTTTTGGTTCATTTTGTTAGCTTGTGACCATATTTCTTTAGAAGAAGTATTTTTGAACACAAAATTAGAACACCATTTGATCCAACTGCTTTTTGTTCAGCTGCTTTTTAGTATGAGCAGTAATTTTCTGACATTTTAAAAAATTATCAAGGCTTGGTGAACATTTATAAACTGCTAATGCTTATTTTCTGTTATTAATTATCAGATCACATCCTGGGTCCCACCATGGCGGAAGGGATCGATTTTTGGATTTAAAAATTTTATATTGAGGAATAGATTTAATAGCAGCATAATTAATGCAATCTATTAGAAAGTTATAATTTTCATAAGTATTAAGGGAGTTACTTTTATTAGAAAACATGTTTTCAATTAAGGATGTATACAGAGCCCAATTGGCCTTTTTATGTTCCATTTGCTTTTTGAATAAATTGTTTCCTGTGATGTGTAGGTTATTGAAAAAATCATAGTTATTGAAAAATGATTGGAGCCTAAGGTGTCAGATAAAACTTACCAGGTGATTTTACTAGCTATATTAGGTGTGCAGAGGGAAATGTCAATCAATGTAGGTTCACCATTATTCAAAATTACAAGATCTAGATCCTCAATACTACTAACAATTTGGTGACGAACTGCATAATTTTGTAATGAACCCCATAGTGAGTTATGGGCACTCATATCTCCTCCAATTATAAAAGGTGATTTGACTTGTGAGAAGATATTTATCCAATCATTTTTGGAAGTACGAATTTTAGGTGGTCTATATATAGATAGAAAACTTAATTCTGTTTTATTAATTTTAACGGTAGCAGCGCAGACTAAAATTGCATCGTTAAAATTGGTTCTAATATTTATTTGACAAAATGGTATGGTTGTTTTAATTAAGATTGCGACACCTGCGTACCCGTCATACCTATCTTGGCGAATTACATTGTAACCCTTAAATATATAATTCTGATTTGGTTTGATCTAAGTTTCGCTTAATAAGGCAATGTCAATATTTTCAGTTGTTAAAAAATGAACTAAGCTGTTTTTATTCGAAACAACCGATCGAGCGTTCCATTACAAAATTTTTAATGATTTAAAATAACCTTGATGTAATGATCCACATAAACACCATTCCCGAAAAGTAAAAAAGCCTTGTTTTAGTGTCTTATCAAATACCAATACAGTTACTTATTTGCTCAAACAATACTAAAAACAGTAACAAGAAAAAATATTTTAACTCGCCTTCTCTAAACTGTGTGACATCCATTAGAAAAAACGTAGGTTAAAGCTGGATTTATTAATGGAGAAAACATATTTTTTTAATTAGTAATTTTAGGTTTTACATGGTCATTTATTATTATTCATTGATTTTCGGAACAAGTAATGTCAATTTTATTTTTTTTGTTTCAGGGTGCTTTAGAGACTATTGAAATACTACCAAATGTTTGTTATAGCCATAAAGTTAAATATCCAGACTTCAATCACATCGATTTTCTTTTTGCCAGCAATGCCTCGGAGTTAGTTTATGAACCAACAGTAAATATTTTCAGAAAATACGACGCTGAACATAGTTAAGATGACAAGCATCAAATTGTTTTAACTTTACCAAATTATCAAAAAACAGGAAAACATTTTGTATTATTGACCTTAGATGTGGGTTTTACCTTCAAAATATCTTAAACTTGTCATCTGTGTTTCTATATAATATTATTTGGTTGTTAGTCTAATTAAAATATACTCTTTTTTAATATTTTTTAATCATTTATCAACTTTTATCACAAATCCTTATAATACCTTTTATAATACCCAAAGAATGGCTCCAATAAACATTCATACTGCTTCCCAAAAAAGCCAATGCAAAGGAGTGCAATGAACATCGCACCATAGCCTTAACGAGTCATGTCCTGAAATTGTTTTTAAAAGTAATTCACAATAGAATACATAAGAAATTAGATGAAGGCATAAGTAATACACAAATGGGATTTAGGAAAGGACTGGGAACACGAGATGCACTGTTGGCATTCAGTGTTCTTTCGCAGAGATGCTCAGCTATTAATCAGGAAGTATATGCCTGTTTCATTGATTTTGAAAATGCATTTGACAGAGTGCAGCATAATCGACTTGAAGAAATTTTATTAAATAAAAACATAGACAGTAGAGACATTAGAATCATCTGTAACCTCTATTGGAATCAAACAGCAAAAGTGAAAGTTGAAAACGAACTGACCAAGGATATCCAGATTCGCCGTGGGGTCCGCCAAGGGTGTATTTTATCACCCTTGTTATTCAATTTATACAGTAAAGCCATCTCAAAATTAGTGCTTGCCGAGATCAGTGAGGGCCTTATAATAAACGGTGAGCCACTTAATAACATAAGATATGCTGACAACACCGTCCTTCTGGCAGGAACAGTAGAAGAACTGCAACACCTTGCTGAACAACTAAATATATATTGCAACGATTATGGACTAAAAATCAATTTGAAGAAAACCAAGTTTATGGTATTTACAAAAGCACAAAACATCAAAGTTAAGCTAGTACTAGATAATACAAAAATTGAACAAATATCTTCGTACAAATATCGCTCCGGATAAGAATGCTTCGATGTTATATTTTCTCTACCCTTTTGTATGGAGTTGAAGCTTGGACACTTAAAAAATCCAACATTGAAAACCTAGAAGCATTCGAAATGTGGTGTTACCAACTTATTTTGAAAATATCATGGATGGATCGCAAAACAAACGAACAAGTTCTCGAACAACTAGGAAGACAATGCGAAGTTTTAAATTCCATAAAAATTAGGAAATTGGAATACTTGGGGCACATCATGAGAGGTGAAAAATACGAACTACTAAGGAATATAATGCAGGGTAAAATTAAAGGTAGAAGAAGCGTAGTAAGACGTAAAATCTCGTGCCTACGCAATCTCCGTGAATGGTTTGGATGCAGTTCAATTGAACTATTCAGGCGAGTAACCAATAAAATTATAATTGCCAGAATGATTTCCAATCTCCAATAGGAGTGGAACTTGAAGAAAAAGAATTACAAATCCTAATATTTGAATATTTTGTATATAAAACCGGTAGTAATAATTTTCTTAATAAATACGGAGAACAAAAGGAGAGATATTATTTCCTTTAGCAATTAGGTTTTAAGTACAAGTCGATTATTCGCCCAATTATTACATATGGCAGTGAAACATGGACTCTCAACCAGCGGGAAATCAATCAGCTTCTAGTATTTGAAAGAAAGGTTCTCAGAATAGTATTTGGTTCTCAAAGAGATGAATTCACAGGGTATTGGAGAAGACCCCGTAATGCTAAATTGGTGACTCTGTATGGAACTAAAAACAATGTTAAGTGGCGGCCACAACGGCACACACACACACATCGCACCGCATCTAGCCTTGACCATTGATTATAAACCACCACCATGTGAGTGGTTTATAATCAATGCCTTGACCAAAGCCTCGGTGTAGCAAAGTAAATACAAGCATTGCCGTAAATGCGCGTAGCCACAACGACGCACCGCTCCTTCTTTCGCACATCGCTGGGTACCAAAGCCTCGCCTACTGACGCCTACGTAAATTGAGCTTAGTATTTTCTGATCCTCGCACGTTGCACAGTGATTGTGATTATTCTAGGGATGGATAAAGACAAATTAATTAGTTGTCTGTTTTCGCAATTTGGAACAAAAAAAGCAAAAGCCACCACAATAGTTTGGTTTTATCAAAAATATGGAAAGAAGTGGCAGAAGAATGTGAAACAACAGGTAAATAAAACAATAAAAATGTATAAATAATGATATTTTAATCACTACATAAATAAGTTTTCTCGTGTCCATTTTACTTTATTATTTAGCCTTCCAGGGGAACCTGTATATTTTCATTATTATTACCAAATTGAATCTCTCGTAAGTTATGTTCCATTCCTTCCTTGTCAATTATTGTATTATGTAAAACACAGATAGCTTTAACGATTTTATCTGTAAGGTCTATACTAGTTAATATAGGTTTATCCAAAATTTGCCATTTTGATCTGAGAATTTTAAAGGCACATTCTACAGTTCTTCTTGCTCGTGACAGACGTTTGTTGAAGCCTACATCAGTATTTACAAATTTATAGTTTGCATCAACAAGAGCTTGAAGCACAGTAGAGAAAAATCCTTTATAGGTATAAAACATAGAACCAGATTTACTTGGACATTGCACACGAATATGTTTACCGTCTAGCTCTTCTACACAGTTAGGAAAATTCCAAAGTTTATTAAAATCTTTTGTAACTTTATAAAAGTTGAGAAGGAATGGGCATATGAGATTCGTATAAATAATCACAAATATATTTATAAATTTGTGAAATATTACTCACTGTAGTTTTACCTATACGACATGAGAAGGCCAAACTTCTCAATGACATTCCGGTAGAAAAATTCCTGCAAACAAAATGTTTCCTTTAATAAATTATGTCTTTACTTAAACAGGTTTTATATAAATATCTCCATTGGTACTAATAATATTAAAAATAATTTTAGATCAAAGTAACAGAAACATACAATTCGTATTAATTCATATTTTTTTCCTTTGTAGTGACAATTGCTAAAGGGTAAAGGAAAATGCTTAAGAGACATTCATAAAAAAGCTTGCTGACATACCAATAAAACATTCCGGAGATGGAGTTAAAGAAGATGATAATGAACACTTAAACTGGCCATGTTTCGGATCTCTATCATTTTTAAAGGATCAATGCTGATCTAGAAAAAGTACGGGGAATTTTCCTACACAAGAAGATGACACTTTTTGATGTGATTTTAGTACCTTTGGTGTATTAGTAAGGCTACACCTTCTTTGGCCCTGTTTTCTTTTGCTACTCTACTGTAAATTAGTATCTAGTCTATATCTGTAGAGCACAAATGTCTATTTCTTTCTCTTGCAGCACTTGGGTTATTTCTTGGTCCCTTGAGTTGAGTGATCTGATATTCCAAGTAATAATTCTCATCTAGGTTTTGGATCTTTTTCGTTTGTTCTTATTTCTTGCCGTAGTCGTCTACATAGTTGCAATCCAGTTCCGAGGTTGTACATTGTTTCTTTGAGCAGTATTTGTTTTTACGATTGCTAACCTTGCCAATCACCCTCTACATTTTATCCGGGCTTGGGACCGGCTGTGGTAACCGCAGAGCTACCAATAAATGTTCAATAATATATTTTTTCAAAGTATATTTAAGCACTGACAAGTTGTAATCGGTAGACCGGTAGTCATTTTCAACATTGATTTCAACAAGAATTATAACTTTGAGTTCCGAAAACGAGTTTTTAAAAATTATTTTATTTCGAAAATACAAATTTACAAATTATGTAGACAAAAACAAAAACTATGAAGCAAAAGTTATCGTAATTGAAATGTTCCTCTATTTATAATATAGTATTGCGTAGTTTCTATTGTCCTACAATGTGCAGATTCTGTGGAATCCAGTGGCGTAACTCCTCCCTCACTGAGTCCGAAAAATAATGGAATTATTTTTGGGATGCTGGTTTGTGGAATCTTCTTCAATGCCGGAATCTTCTTGTAATTCTATTTCATGCTCGTTCCGTTGTTTTGATCTTCTTTGTTTAATAATATATAGAATGATCAAAATTAGAATAACTGCTATGACTGAGGTGGTCACCAATGGAGTGGTATGTGAAGGAATATTTGTGTCTTTAATTGGGACTAACTGTTTGGCCATATTATTAATTGCATAAAGATTTTCAAAGTCAATTTTGGTAATGTTATGGCTCTGGAACTTTTGTATGTTTTCTGTAGAAAAATATTTTATTTTTGGTAAAATTAGAGCTTTTCCTCTATGAATTTTGATATTGTTATTGAATTTCAATTGGTTGATTATCACTTCACAATTTTCTGGTATACTGATGAGAGATGGACTGTGTACTTCAAAAATTTGGTCTCTCTTGCACTTTGATTGGACTCGTTCTGATGTCGATGGCATTATCAATACTTCATTATTAGTTACTTGTTCGATAATGGATTCTTGAAGAGTGACTTCTGTGGTAAAACATTGGGATGAACTTTGACCATTGAGGAAACGCAAGGTGCAATTGTCTTGTAGTATGGTCTCTTCTTTACAATAATATGTTTCTTCTAAAATGGGACATTCTTCTTTTTGTAGGTGCGTCTCGTCAGAGATTCGTGCCAAATAAGGGTATGTGGGAGTGAACATCTTGTTCTTTTGAATTATTGGGTAAATATGATAAAAATCAAGGACATTTGGTTTTAGGATAGGAATGTGAGTAGCAAAGATCAATTTTGAATTCGAAAAAGTTACTTGTGTCCCTAATAGCATGTAATATGTTAAAATATTTATAAATTTTGGAATTTGAGAAGGTTGGTAAATACTATGCAAATATTTGATCATATCTTGAATTTCTTGACTCGAAATAATTGAACTATGTAATGTGTTTAATTTTGAAAACATAATTCCATTTGCTATATTTTCAATAAAATCTATCATATTTTGACAATCTAAATTTATCTGACTTATGGTACCTTGAAAAGTAATATAATTTCCCAAACTGTTTATAGTGCTTTGAATTTCTAATTGAAACTTTTTTAAGTTATGTTGTAGTTTTTCTTGGTTTTGCCAAAGTATTTCTAGAGATTGGTTATAATGATCAATTAGTTTTTTATATAAAGATATTTGTTAGTTCGTCTCATGAATAATTTGTTTCTGATTATT